TAAATCGACGCAGAATGCGATTCTATGAAGATCCTCAAAAGTAAATATGGGTCCATCTCCCTTCCTTCTACATGTTACAAACAAATACACAAGGACATAATACTCTTACCACTATTTGGTGTATAAAAATCGAACTTCCAATTGTGGTTTGAATGTTTTAAATAATAGCATGTTTCCATTGGAAACCGAACAACGTTGTTCGCTCTCAGAATTAGGTACACGAATTAACCCGTTCATACGGCACGATTCGTAATTCATAGTAAAATAATTCCTTTTTTCAAAAAAAATTGTTTGTTGATTTTAAAGGGAATGTATACGAAAATACATGAACTTCTCACTAATATGAATATAAGAAATTATTGTTTTTCTCCCAAAGATTAATTATATCATTAATTTTACAATTTTCATTCACGTTTTCAACTTTTTGTGTAAATATTGACATTTTGAACATATTTTTGTGTTTTTCCATTTTTAAATTCTGCTGAAGAGACACTTGTCAAACATTTTTTCTGCCGATAGAAACATTTTGAAAATATTGACTATTTTGTTTGCAGTTTTCTGTAGAAATTTTAATTCGTGGACCAAATGCGTACCTCGAATGAGAGAGAAAACAAAATTTACTTTCGTTTGAATGTACATATGCCATTCAACATTGTAGTTTTCATTCATAATTTTCAGTCTTCCCAAAAATTTTTAAAATTTCATTAAATTTTTCTGTTTTTCATTTTTAAATGTCATAATTTATTTTTTCGATAAATGCTCTCATTTGTTAGGGATGGGACATATTTTTTCGTTGTTCTGAGAGTGATTTGATTTGAACGACGTACAAATGAAGGGCTCACAGCTATACCGAACTAAGTCATAAAAACATAATTCGAAGATATTTAGAGGTAAAGTAAATGCACTGCAATTAATTTCTGTAAGGAATATTTCAGTCTACTAAAAGAAAATGTAAAAGTCTATATTCAAAATTAACTAATGATATAAATTTAAAAACAAAAATAATAAAATATATTACTAAAAATATATTCAAAAACAAAAAAATCTACTTTGGTTCATTATTACTCTGATTAAAATTTGAATGTTTCACAGTTAAAGCGAACCAAGTCAAAAAATATAATAAAGTGTTCGCTATATGACTAAATATAGTTGATGTTCCGCTTGTAATAAGCAACTGATGTTGATAGCTTTGGAATGCTTTTTGAAGGTCGAAAGTACAGATATAGTGTTCATCAGATGGTACTTCTGAATTCAGTGAGTCTCGAGCTAGCTGTGCTGCTTTTAAATGAAGTTCCTGTTGCCAAATTAAATTTGTATTTTCATCTTCATGGAAATTTATTTTCATGTCAAGTTCATCACAAACTCGACAAGTATCCTTATTCGGATAAAATTTCGTGCTGAACTTTATAATAAAAAAACATTTTGTTTTGCGTAATCTGCAAGTTTCCAAAATGACTCGAAAAATAATTCTCTGTTAGATTCATTCACCTGGTTGTTCCATTTTATTCTGCATCCAAAATCATAATTAGGTATAAATGTTTTTGCGGAAGTTGTAAGACACTTCTGATTTGTGTATGCTTTTCCACTGTTGCAGCGAAGCTTATGCACACTCCACTTTTCCGGGATTATTCATCTTTATTCATCTTTTACTTTTAAAAATTATAAAAATACCGAATAAAGGGAGTTACCGTAATATGGGGGTCTATACGAAAATTTGGACCTGCCCAGGCAAGTTTTGTCATAGTTCATCACAATATTTAAATGGGAAACTGCAAAATATCCGGTAAATAATATCGCAAAAACATCAAAATTCTTAATACGAAATACGAAAGTCATCAAAATACCGATCATTTTCAATACCAAACGCCCTGTAGACCAAACACACATCTGAGTAAAATTTTATCAACCTACTTCAGTTGGCTTGGAATCTAGAGTGATTTCCACATATTGACGGACATCGCAAAACCGACATTGAATTTTATGCTGATCAAGAATATATATACTTTGTAGAGTCTAAAATATATATTTCGTGGTGCTACACACGGAATGACCAACTTAATATGCCCTCCATACTATACCCTCCACGTACATCTGTCGGCAAAACTGACTGATACTTTTTAACTTGTTTTGTTTTTTATATTGCTGAAAACTGAACGGCAATATACACTTGCTCACTAATAGAACTGATTTACAGTGAAACACACTGACTTGGTTCATTTTTGCTTTGAATAAAAACGAAAAGGACAGTCGTTGACTTAGGTTTTTTACCGTTATCTTTGGAACGAAACACTTTTTGACATTATGCTTTGCAGTGTAAATAGAGTTGCCACATGCGGGGACATTGGCACTAGTTTCGGCATTTTTTATTTTTCATGACTTGGTTCGGTATAGCAGTGAGCCCTCCAAATATGAGTGTTCGCTCAGGAAATTTTGTGTGAAGAATTAGGTAGTTTTTTCATAGTTAAGGGTCAAACAACGAATAGAGAGCGAATCAAGTGCAGTGGAAACGCCACATAAATAACCGGAATCCAATCGAAATACAATTTTATTTGGGATTCTAGTTTTGTGTAAAAACCTTTACAGTTTGACACAAACACAATTTGAAATTAACCTGACACATGTGTTAGCCAAAGCTTTGCTCAATTTTGATGCGACTTCGTTTCAATATTTGTTGAATCCAAAACCAGCCACAGATGTTTCCTTGTTTACTCTATAACCTGTTTCTAAGGATACAAAAAACCTCGAATCTCCGAATAAAATTCTACAATTTCCAATGGCTTCCCTTTAATATGTATGTAAAGCGCAGAACGGCCAGTAAAATACTTTCGCGTTGGGTAGCTTGCCAAAATTGTGATTGCACCTTATTCGAAGGGTAACTAGCCAAAATTGAAATTGAATTTGCCGGGCGGCCAGAATTTTGTCATAAAGCCTAAGCCAAAATTGACAACTCATATCACAAAGACAATTTACAATTGTCAGTTACTCCCAAGTTCTATGCAAAAGAAAAAGTCTTTTATGTCAATAAAAGAAAAAGATGTTTATATTTGCTTTGTTGTAATATTCACCTATGTTGCTACCTGGTATTTCTTCCATGGGTCCAATGGTTTCGTATTGGCAAATCAGATTGTTGCTAGCCGATTCATACAGAGGTACGACTGTTTACAGCTTTCTTGCCAAAGAGAAAAAAACACCTTAAGCTGCGAATACTTAAAGGGTTTTTTGACTGGCTTAAAGCATCGGCTAGTTTCTTCGTAGAGGAACAAAGGAGTTTTAGATTGACTTAGTGCGATTTTGGCCCAGCCGATGACTTAAGCCAGTCAAAAAAATCGTTTTATGTATTCTCACTTTTACTATCTCTGCTGTTTTTATACCCCCTCCATTCTATGGACGGTATATTAACATTGTCATTCAGTTTGTAACTCCTTGAAATTCTCATGTTAGAGCCTACAAAGTATATAGTATATTCTGGGTCAGCGTAAAATTCTAACTCGATTTAGTCATGCCCGTGTGTCTGTCTGTTGTGACCACGCTATATTTGGAAAGAAATGAGATAGAAGCCTAAAATTTTTGAGCACTTGCGTATTTTGCAAGTAGGCAGGTGAGCTTGTGAATGGGCGATGTCGGTTAACGTTTTCGTATAGCCCCCCATAAAACGGTATCTCTCGATATTCGGAATTGTTTCAAATTTCGTATATGAGTTTCGTAATGGGTAGTACAATCTATGACGGTAAATTGTTATTCGGCATTTTGATGATATTTGCAACATGATTCACCGGTATTGTTTCAAATTTCGTATTTGAAGTTCAGAATCGGTACTACAGCTTATGACAAAGAATTACTTATGCAGGTCCAAGTCTTCGTATAGTCCCATTTTTATTTGAGCGCTATTTTTCGACGGAATTTTACTGATATTTTTCAAGTTCCTTCCAAATGGCGGAGGGTATTAAAAGTTCGGCCGGTCGAATTTTATTAATTGTGAATGTTGAGAGGAGAGAGTACATAAAAGGCTTTTTTGATTGACTTAAGTCGTCGACTGGCTTCTTTGTAAAAGAAGAAATGAGTTTTAGGTTGACTTTGGAAAGTTCGATGTTGGTCCATTATTTACACTCTTTCTCCCATGTTATTTTACGAAGAAGTCAGCCGATGACTTAAGTCAGCCAAAAAAGCGTTTTGTGTGCTCTTACCTTAATTGTTTTGTTTTGATTGCTAGCAGGTTTGTACAGGGATGCTGCTTGTTTACTTCTACCCTAGGGAAGAAGTAAGCAGACCGACCTTATATTACCAGCAAAGTTGCTCTCTTCTGTGTTTTCCCTCTGTTGGGTTATCATACACACGTATGTATTTATCCAACCATTTTCGAAATTTGGTCTAATAGGCACACTTCTTCTATGTATCCTTTATTCCCTATTTTCGTAATATGGTTAGGTTTTTCGTTTGTGGTTGACTGGACTGATCTCTACGACAAGCAAGCAAGATTAGATGATTTTGCAATGATCGTTTTCTAAACAGAAGCGTCGAATGTCTAAATGTTTCGCCACAGATTTTTCATGAACTTGGATTAATCACATCCATACGGCCCTAAACTGATGACCTAAATGGCGTTCATATTTTTTTATTTATCTCACAAAAAATTCCAATCAAACAAACAAACACACTTTGGCTATTGAACCCTGGCATTTCCTTTTGTCTCTTAACGCGTTGTTGACATTTCTACATGTATCTTAAATTAATGCCAATATTAAAATTGTTTCGAAGATCATTGGTCCCAATGCATTTTTCTGTTGCTCATTCAAAATCACCAATTGTGGAATTTCATGATTTATGTTCGATATATAATAGATATTGTTATTATTGTTATTATTATTATTATTTCTTCTGTGCTATGTAGAATTGTTGCGGAATATGAACATATATACATACACACACGCATATATATTTAAATAACGCATACATACATACATATTCATGTTTGTTTGTACGACGAATACTCATTGACTTACTAAATTAAATCTTATCAAAAAAAAAAAAAAAGAAAGAAAGAAAAAAGAACGGCCAGTTTGTTTATTAATCCGTCCGACTGCGTGCGATGAGTCCACCAAGAAATTGGGAAATTCTTCCAATTTTGAACTTTGTGCGTGCTTTTCTGTTCGATTTTTTTTTGGTCGATGGATCGATTGTTCTTTCGCTCGTCACTCGGCGTCGACGACTGGGTGGACGTTCGAATTGTTGCTACACGTTGGATGATGCATCGTTATATATTACATTGAATCTGTAGCGCGATTACCACTGTGACGTATGTTTTTGACTCTAAAGAAGTCCATTTGATTTCACCCGAATGTCACCACCGGCACACCACAATCTGTTTCGCGCCACACTTTATGACCGCAAATTTAGGGACTTTTGTCGAAATTCCAGAAATCCAAGGAATTAATGAAAGTGAGTTTGGAATTTTTGCTTCTGCTGCTGCTGCTGTTGTTGTTGGGTGTTATGTAAGTACATAAGTATACCGAAACGAGCGCGGCGGCGTTACGATCGGAAAATGGTACTTTTGTATATTAACGCTCGAAACATCTGAATTATACTAAAAAGTGAAAAAGTTTTGAAAAGAACAAAAACAACGAAAACAGATGAAGTCTCAATGGGAGCAATGAGGCAAGAGTGAGAAATACATACCTCCTCATTTTCCCACCTCCTTCCACCCACCCACCATTTTTCCCCATGAGCACAGAAGGCAAACCGATCGAATACTTCGGGTAATTTTGAATTGGATTTGTTTACGTTTTCGATATTGTTTTTGGTGGTCCTATGGCCGATACATTTTTATTATATTTGTTGCTATTGTTTCATTTCGAATACAACAACCAAGATTCACTAGAGAATCGTGCTAAACGTGCGATCGGAATATTTTCGAGTTGATCCAAACAAAAAAAAATTATACACTTCAACAGCAAGCACACACACACACCACAAACATTCCAACAATTCCTACAAGAGCGGCTGCCAACACCATAGCTGCCTAATTCATGTTCGATAAACTAAATTGCGTTTGGATCCATTCCTATGATCTCTTCTAATAGATTTTCCTACAATTAGAATATGTTGTCTACAATGACATTTTTCTTGGGGGCTATTTGAATATTATATACGCGGTGCTTTGCGTGTATGCCCAGGACCATTTTAAAAAAAAAAGTTGATATGTTTGAAGATGTGCTGATTAAATATGAAAACAAGTTAAAAAGTATCAGTCGATTTTGCCGACAGAAGTATACCCCCAGTCAATGTTCGATTATTTAAATATATTTTGGCTTCTGTTTTAATTATTTGAACTTTTGACCTTTTATGGAGTAGGTTCCGAAGCCATGGACCAATATTGACCATTTCGTATCGAACCTAAATAAATATGATATAAATATTACGAGGTGCCAGATGTGGACTATATCGACTACTTCCTTCACTTTATATGAGACCAGCTGAACTCGGTGCTCTTCGCTACCCCTTTTGATTTTATGTGCATTCAAAATTTTTTATACGAATATATGTTGCTTTAAAAATAAAATAAAACAAATTCAAATTTTTTGAAAGAAAAATGTAATACTTTAATGCGTAAATAAACAAATAGCCTACCAACGCGTAAATATGACTGGAACAGCTGACCATGAGAAAAGCAGGAACATGGCACGCATACACCTAGGGTTTGTCCTTCGGATTTATGCATTTCACAGCAAACGCCAAGCGTGCAGGAAACTGCAATATTTTGAAGAAGACTGGCATTTCTGTTGCAAGTAGTGAATTCGAGGTAGCATTAAATTGTACTGTTAGCCTAATACCATTGCAAAGGAGTTGTGGGTCAATGCTTCTTAATAAAATCATATCACAATCTGAACCGATTTCAACCTCAACCGACTTCAATATAATTTGGCAATTTTTTTTTTTTTGGTACCAGATTTCGTCTCTCTGTCCTAATTTCATTGATATCTAGCATACATAGTCGTTGGGTGCACAAATATGTAGAATTGTCCGAAAATGTATGTGGGAGCTATAACCAAATCTGAACCGATTTGAATATAATTTGACTAATTTATTTTCTGATCAAAATCCCGCCACACATTCCAAAAAAAATATATGGGAGCTATATCCAAATCTGAACCGATTTCAATATAATTTGACAAATTTATATGTGTACAAATTTAGGCTCCCATGCCAAATTTCATTAGAATTGGACAAAAGTATCGTGTTTTGTGCATCAAATATGTAAAATCGGCCGAAAAAATATATGGGAGCTATATCCAAATCTGAACCGATTTGAATATAATTTGACTAATTTATTTTCTGATCAAAATCCCGCCACACATTCCAACTTCCATTGGAATCGAACATACATATCGCGTAATATCGAAATCGATCGAAATCGGAGCTATACCCAAATCTGAACAATATAAATTGGCAAATGTATTTTCGATTTAAATTCCGTTACGCATTCCAAATTTGGAGAATGTATCTGTAATCGATCAATAGATATGTGCATATAAAATTTAAATTTTTCGGGGGTACGTCCCATTTTGATGATATATCTCCAGTTCCAAGTGGAATTTTAAAAATGTATATAGCCTATGTTACTTTTAGGCGATGTTGTAGTACCCTGTGAAATTTTCAAGAAAATCTATTCAGCGGGTTTCGAGTCCATAAATTACAAACTTCATTCGGTTTCTTTCTGTTTCGTAGAATGAGGCGGAGACTGCAAGAACTGATTCAAGTTGTTTCTTTTTTCTAAAATGTTCTTGCATTTTTTAAATCAAATGTGTGAATCCAGTGCCTATCTTCTGTAACCTTGTCCCTGTGGTTTTTTGCCTCAACATCAGGCCATTTGACCCATCAGGCCCATAATTCGTCTGTGTAGCTGTAAGATTTGAAACAACCCTTAATTTTCGTACCAGCTTGTAGTATGGTAAACCATAAAATCAGAAGATTACCAATTCTATACCAGTAGCGCACAAAATAAAAAGAGAATAGCAAAAAAAAACAAGTAAAAAAAAAATTTATACCCTCCACCATTCGGAAGGAACTTGAAAAATGTCAAAAAAATCCGTCGAAAAATACCGCTCAAATGAAAACCTTTATATGGGGGCTATACGATTCCGAACTTGAAATACGAAATTCGAAACAATTCCGGCGAACAATGTCGCTAATATCATCAAAATATCGAATAGAGGGAGGTGCCGTTATGAGGGAGCTATGCTAAGACGTGGACATGCATAGAAAATAGGTTGTAGTACCCATTAAGAAGTTCAAATACGAAATTTGAAACGATTCCGGTGAATAATGTCGCTAAAATCATCAAAATACCTAATAGCGGGAGGTAGAGTTATATGGGGGATATACAATATCGTGTACCCATACATACAATTCTTTTTCAAGGGGTAAAGTAGCTACGAAGATCTCCTTGTATAGAATTTCAGTCAATTCCATTAAAAAAAATGTAGCTAAAATCATCAAAAACCCTGCTTGCGGACAAAAGACAGATCGGTGCAAAATATTAGCTTCCTATCTTCATTCGTTTTGACTATAACGGGATTAAAACAGACGGACGGACCGATATATCCAGCCATGCATACCTTCAGTTGCTAAAAATTGACATGTAAAAATTCCATGACTTTTACCCGAACACTGTGATCATTTTACAAAACTACCAACATTTTCATTCACAATATTTTAGGTTATTTCTCATTTTCTGAAGAGATACAAACCAAAAAGAATGGAGGCTATAGGAGAGGAGAGAAAGAGCGAAAAATATAACAATTAAATGAAACAAACGTTGATTTTTCTTTTTTGCTGGTACAAACCAAGAGATTCCAGCCATGCTGTTGATTTGTTGGCCCGCCTGTCCGGCAAAACAAACAGAGAACAGAGAGAAACAGACAAATACGTAATTATCTGTTTTTTTCAATTCGATTTGTTTTTGGCTGTTATCTCTCCTACGGGCTCTCATTTAACGATTTGGAGGGGCCCCGAGTGAGTGCGTACGTGTGTGCGTGTATCGTCTATATCATGTTTGTTTAATTTCGATTATTCGATTGAGATAAAGAATAAGTGTCGGAGGGTTAGTGAAATGCATGCAGGACTGATTGGAGGGCGTCAAAAGGCTAGGCTCGGCAAAGAGTATCTACATGTTGCAGGGTCTGTAAGGTTTTCACCATTGGTTGTTTGTTTTTGTTGTTGCATTTGTTGGTAATGGGAGTGTAAATTTAATGTGTTTAATTAAAAATATTTCAGCCCAACAACAAAAGCCATAGAATGAGCGACTGACCGATCGAACGTCTGTCCGCCCGGCGGGCTAGTCATATCAGAATTGATTGTCAGCCAGTGATGACAAACAATAACTACAGATCAGTGAGTGGTTGATGATGATGGTGGTGTTGTTCTTGTTGTTGTTGTTGTGGTTATGTGAGACTAAGCAAACTAAAACGGACCAAAACATTCAACAGAGTTTCTTTGCGTGTTATATGCTACGTCTGTATGTCGTTGGAATCATTTGTGTGGCGGTTCACTGCTCGTCCGTCCGTCAATCTGTACGTACGTACGTGCTCATAAAACAACTGTGTCCCACCAACTTCGTTATCCACGCTGCTGTTGCTGCTGCGTTTTACTTTACAGGGCGCGAAGTTTTGGTTCGCTTTAAAGTAAAGTATTGTATAATGGCAAAACGACCATAAAATGGAATGAATTGTGTTTAACGCGCTTTGAATTGACTCTCGGGCCGTTCTCTTAAGCATTCGCTGATAAACAATCGACAGAGCCAGAAGCAAACGATCGACGATCGGCAAAGGCCAAGACCGGATGACAGAAATTGAAAGCGACGATCGTGGTGTTTTCAGTATTTGGCCAGTTGTGAGCAAAGCGTGTGTGTTTTCATTTTATTAATTTGTTGTACTTTAAACGGAGTTTTCCGATTGTGAGCTGTTCAAGATCCAAAAGAAAAGCCTTGCGCTATCAAAGAATATTTGTTTAAATTTCCTTGACAACAATTTACGTTGCGCCAAATTAGGATCGTATCCCTACACTACGTCGTCACGTAAACGCGATCTTTAATAATTAATTGCAATATTCTCTTGTAAACTGTGATCGCGCGTGTTTGCTGTCTTTATGTGTGCGCGCGTGTGTGTGTGTCTGTGTCGGGAATAAACAAAACAATCTCAGAGCTTTGGGGGTGTTTTGTGCTCAGAATTAATTGTGAATAAAATCTGTTTGGAGTGACTTGGCCCCCTCCAATTCAATGGAGGAAATTCATACTCAGTGATGTCATTACAATAGCTCAAGCTAAAACTGTTACTCGTGAATACTTGGCTAAAAAGTTCGGAAGCAAATAAACATTCCTATCATTCGATTTCGTATTCGATACAAAGTGGCGTGTAACCTTATCAAACGGGCTCCGGGGTACGTACGTATGTACGTGATCATTGATACAAATTTCTATAGAAGTTTTGTTTTGTTCTTGTGATTTGATTGGAGATCGAATTTAAATCGAAAACAAATAAATTCAATAATTTATTATTGTTATTTATATTGAAGAACCAAATTGTACGATATATACATAACACCACGCCAAACACTCGCATGTCTAAAACACCGAAAGAAATTCGCCCGGCAATAAATCATGACACATAAGAGTGAAATGTGAAAAGTAAACAAACGGAGCAAACATCGACAAACAACAACAACAACAGCAGCAGCAACCATATCGAATTCAAGGCATTTAATCGAATACCTTTAAAACACACATAAATAATAGAGAAACAAACAAGTAGACATACCTACACACATATATCTAAAAGGTAAATAAATAAAGCAACGCAAATCTCTACAAACAAACTACAACAACAAATGCATACATTTCTACCTTAATATACCTAACTTACCTTACAATAACACCATCCCATGCAACAACAATAACAAAACGATATAATATCATCAACAAAGCAAGTGTTTCCTCAACACTCTTTATTAGTCATCTGATGCCAGCGGTGTCTGTCTGTCCAGTCAGTCAGTCAGTCATTCATTCAGCCATTCCGACAGTCATTTGACTCAGTTCAGTATCACAGAATTTAAATGATGTTCCAAACAATATTTAATGTTGAATCACCGTTTTAATCGAGTTAATATATTTGTGTTTTTACCTGGAAATTGTACAACGCAGCGGCCTCGACAGCCCCCTTCACCTGTATGCATCTTAGCTTCTCTTTTGAACGAACTACACTTGCTCACATTCTCTGTCCCCATTCCATCTCTCTCTCTCACTCTCCACATTTCTCCCATATAAAGAGGCCAACCTAAAGTCACAGCTAAAACGGCAAAAACATTTGTCAAGTTTCAAAAAAAAAAAAATACACTCAGCATCTTTTATAGGAAATTCATATAAGTGTTGTATAGCGGTATACATATGTATGTATGGGGGTAAATAATTTATAATTGCATGAATGTTATTGTTAATTGATCGTGAGAATGTGTAAAATGCTGAGAAGTATTGCCAACATAAGAGTTTGTCATAATTGTAAGGGGTTTTCATCGATTACCCTCTTTAATTAACAATGGTCGTTGGTAGATATCCGGGTAAATGGATTACAGCGCTACGACTACGGGTGTCCAATTAGGGTCTCTTTTATTCTTCAACTGGATATTTTTCAATAAAACTATATGAAAATAGCACTGCGTTTTTTATGCAGACCAAAGAAATGAAGCAAAGGGGTCGGCAAAGAAGTTTTCATAGATTAAACATGTATCTTAAATGTCCGATGCCAGTGGTCCTTTATGTGTAGTTTGTCAATTTCATCACACTCGACACATACATTATCGGAATTTATTCATTCATTTATTATTTATTCTATGAAAATTAGAAAAGAAAACTTGTATAAGAAAATAAATGCCAAATAAAAAAAATATAATGTTTTCTATATATGATCGGCCAGTAAGCCCATTTGTCAACCATGTTTGCTGTCAAATGACATACACTGAAAGAAAACGCTTCATACCATAAATGAAATCCTACGTTCCGTCAATGAAATTTGTTATTGACTTTGAACCAACGTACAGGTTCATTGAATAAATGAAAAAAGTTTCATTGAGTTTCATTAATGTAAAATTAACGAAATTGTCCATTAATATAATGAAAATTATTCATTGATTCAGAGAAATGAAAATGGTGGAGGGTATTAAAAGCTCGGTTCGGCCAAACTTTGTTTTTTTTTTACTTCTTAATACCTACACCACAATGTGGTAGAGGGTAATTTGTCGTTGTGCATTTGTTTGTAACAGGTAGACTTACGCGAGATAAACCCTACTTTTTTGGATGATCTTTATAAAATCACGTTCTGAGTCGGTTTATGCATGTCAGCAAGTCTGAACGTCTGCCCATGTATTTTTATGAACAAAATGCAGATCGCCTTTATTGTCAAATTAATATGAAATTTTCCATGTATCATTTGTTTGGTTTAAGAAAAAACTCCATAACGTAACGTTTTATCCATTTCATGAAACTGCTTCATTAAATTTAAATATAACAATTATCACAATTTTCCCACTAATTGTAAATACTATGGTTGCGTATTTGTTTGTATAAGACAGCGCTATTATGTATAATTTCTATATTCACATTTTTTCTGAATTTTGTAAAAATAAATAGTTTTGTAACATTAATGAAATCCGCTTCATATATTCAATGAAACCAAAAATCATTGAATTTAAAAGCAACGTAAGTTTTCATTGCATGAACAAAAAATTTATTATATTAATGTAGATTTTCATTGCATCAATGAAAAAAATCAACGAAACCGGTTCATTGATACAACGAAGCATTTTTCTTTCAATGTATGGTGATGTGAAATGCAAATAAAGTCAAAACACAATTATTTTTCGGCCAGGCCGAACTTTGAATACCCTCCACCATTTGGAACGAATTTAGAAATTTTCAAAAAATAAAATCCGTTAAAAGTTCTGTTAAAATTTTAAAAATACCGAATATAGCCGTTATATTGGGGTCTATACGACGTGGAGCTACATAAGCATTGTCTGTCATAAGCCATTACCATATTCAAATTCGAAACGTGAAATAAACGGTGAATAATGTAGCTAAAATCGTCAAAATACAGTATATCGGTCCACTACCTGAATCTGCATAGACAACTCTCTGCCACAGGCTGTAGCATCCATAACGAACTTCAAATACGACATCTCAAACAATTTCGGTGAGTATTGTACCTAAAATCGTCAAAATACCGAATATAGAGAGGTACTGATATATGGGGCCTATACGAAGACCTGGACATGCATAGACAATTTTTTGTCACAGACTGTAGTTCCCATTAAATACGAAATTTAAAACAATTCCGGTGAATAATGGCGCTAAAATCATCAAAATACCAAATATTGGGATGTACCGTTATATGGGGTCTATACGAAGACGTGAACCTGCATACGAAATTTATTGTCATAGGCTGTAATACCCATTGTGAACTTTAAATACGAAATTTGTTACAATTCCGGTGAATAATGCCGCGAAAATCATGAAAATACCGAGTATCGGGAGATACCGTCATATGGGGGCTATACGAAGACGTGGATCTGCATACGAAATTTTTTGCCACAGGTTGTAGTACACATTAAGATCTTCCAATACGAAATTTGAAACGATTCTGATTAATAATGTAGCTGAAATCATCAAAATACCGACTATCGGGATGTACCGTAAGAAGGGAGATATACGAAGATGTGGGCCTGCATACAAACATTTTTGTCGTAGGCTGTAGTGCCCATTACGAACTTCAAATAAGAAATTTGTAATAATTCCGCTAAAATCATGGAAATACCGAATATCAGGAGGTACCGTTATGTGGGGGCTATACGAAGATGTGCGAAGTACGAAGCTGCCCACTGGTAAACTATGCATGTATGCAAAATTTTAGCCTTCTAGCTCAATTCTTTCGAAAGATAGCGTGATTACAACAGCCAGACAGCCGGATTCGTTTTAGAATTTTGCGCTGTTCCAGAATATATTTGCTTTGTAGGGTCTGTTATGAATATTTCGTTACAAACGGAAAGACAAAGCTAATATACCCTCCATAGAATGGTAGAGGGTATAAATCAAAGGTCAATATTATAAGCGCGCTTTTATTATCACCTACGATATCCAATTGTTTCCACCGAATTTATTAGTTTAATCGAGCCAAAATTCAAATTTAAAAATAAAAACTATTGAGATTGGTTAAAATCTCAAAGTTTGAATCCGTGAGGCTTTCGAAGAAATAGGGCGCCACTTTTCGACTTGATTATGCAAACTTTCATAAAAGCGCAGTGAGAGCTAGTGATAGCACGAGTAATCGATTGATTGGAAATCATCGATTATTTTCCTTCAAATATCCGTATAATAATCGATTGACATACAGAAATAAAAAGTTTTATGGCCAACCTCTATGTGTAAATCATTTATATGAATGTTACAAAAATACCCCGGGCGTACAAAATTTAGAAGTTGGACAAATTCAATTTTGACAGCGCTTATTTTTCTCTTATTTGTTTCATAAAAAAAACAAATAATAAGAAAAATGTGTACATTTAATAGTGGAAAGGGCTATATTTGGAAAAGTTTGTTCTTTTTTATAGTTTTCTTTGCATTAAAATATAACACTTGTGTTTTTGCTTAATACGGCAGTACCATAACCATAACGAGAAAGGCGAGTATTTTATATGCCACGTCGGATATTAGGTAGCCCTATATTGTATAAATATAAAAGAAAGTTGTGTTAGTTACTACGTTTATAACTTAAGAACCGCTGAACTGATTTTAATGATTCATACAAATTCGGAATTGTCTCCTATCCGAAAGGGATAATATACAAAAAAATCACGTAAAAATGTGATATATTAACATTTTCATTTTGACTTTTGAAATGTACAATAGTAATGTTTTATTTTGCATGTTTTTTTTTCATTTTGACTTACTTTTTTTCTAATGTACATTTGTAGTGCTTTTTATATTTTATTTTTGAATTCGAATATTAATACCAATTTATTTAATTGACTTGATTTCTTGAGAACTGAAATTGATGGCGGGTTACATGGAAGTGTAGTACCGAATTATGTGGTGGCGAGACGGAATAGATAATATCGAAATAATTTAACGCGATCACGCCAAAGTTAAAAGATAATTACTTTTTCAAAATTGCTAAAAAATCACGAAAAAAGAGATCTCATTGCAAAAATTTTCAAATCGGGAAAAAATCGAAAAAAAAAAAATTCAATGGAATCGAATTTTAAAATAATAGTACATTCTATTGACAAGCTTTGTAAGGATCTTTAAACATTTGTTGTAAGAAAAAGCGAACAAGTTGAAGATTTTTTCAATTTGTTATTCTTCTTTTGTCAATTTTTCTCAATTTGTAATATCATATTGAATTCAGTGGATTTTTTGTGAACAAAAAAAAGATGAAATAAGTGCGAAATACGATATTAACTGACATCTACCTTTAAACTCCAGGGCCTACATCGTGCTTCAGCTGGAAGATGCGCACACATTTAAACAAACAAAAATGACCGAAAAAGAGTAATGGGGCTCATTTCAAAGCGTTGACCTACTTCTTTCATGTGACAATAATCCGTCCAATGAGAGCTCAAAATGCAAAATTCTTTGGGAGTACAATCAATAAAAAGTCAAATTTAAAGGGTGCAAAATAGTAGAGCGAATGGGACTTTTAGTAAGAAAAGGATTTCTATCCTTCCAGAAATTCTTCCCAAACATTGAAGATACCTTTAATCGCTTTTGCAGGTCATGATATCGATCATA